TCTCTGATCCGTGAATCCGCGAGAACAGAAATCAATTACTGTATTAGCATAGTTTCTTCCACTTTTTTCTTAGGAATACCATTAAAGTCACACTTCCGAAAAGAACAAACAAGGCGGGAAACGAATGCATCCAGTAATTCATCAGATGTTTGTTTCAGCTGAGAAATATTATACGGAGAAGGATAAGTGTTCACTCGACGCCCTTTGAAGGCTTGGATCTCTGCTCGTTCTCTGGAGCTGTTCGAACGCCACAAAGATATCCCCGCGGAATCAGATTGCAACGCGCAACGCCGGTCTGCCAACCAGCTGCTCAAGCAAAGCCTACGCAAAAATCGCGAGACATGGTGGTCTGAGCGTGTTTTAGAGATGGAGACCGCTGCCCTCTCTGGCAACACTCGCAGGCTTTTCCAACTCATTCGGTCCACTGGCCTCAGGAAGCCTGGTGTGAGGCTATTTGTGAGGTGGATGAGTCTCCGATCACCAACCAACAGAGGCGTATGGACCGCTGGGCCGAGCACTTTCACTCGCAGTTCAACTGGCCTCCACCATCCATCAGTACATGCAGTTCACTTTGTTGTCCACCCTGTCTCGTCCCACTGAATCCACCCAGCGAAGCGGAAGTCTGCCTCGAGATTCGACGCTTGAAGCGCTTCAAGGCTGCCGGCTTAGACGGACTTCCTCCGGAACTATTCAAGTACGGCGGTGTGCCGATCATTAACCAGCTGACCGCGCTGTTCGCAAATATCTGGCATGAAGAGAAAGTGCCCTCCTCTCGGGGCGAATCAGTTATTGTCCCGATTTTCAAGAAAGACGCTCGCACTTCATGTGCAAATCATCGCGGCATTAGTCTTATTTCGGTTGTCTCTAAGCTATTGGCATCCATTCTGCTTCGCAGGCTATCCCTTGTACGTGAATCATACTACCGTGAAGAACAAACTGGTTTCCGTCCTGGCCGCGGATACGTGGATCAAATCTTCACGCTCCGCCAGCTCCTCGAACATCGCCACATTTATCACAGGACCACTATGGTTGCATTCCATAGATACATAGGTGCCGCTTTTGACTCCGTTGATCGACCTGCTTTATGGCGCTGCTTGCTAAAGAAGGGGGTGCAGAGAAATATAACGCCATCTTACAAGCACTTTACCTTCACACATCCGGCAGAGTGAGGGTCTATGGCAAGCTTTCCTCGCAATTCCCTGTCAATAGCGGTGTGTGACAGGGCTGCCCTATGTCCCAATTCCTCTTCAACTTCGCAATCGAAGACGTTTTGTCGAATGCTCTAGAAGGTTTACAACATTTGGCCTAGAGCTACTACCGGGTGAGCGCACGACCGACTTAGATTATGCTGATGATATCGCCTTACTTGGTGACGATCCTCAGAGTATGCAACTCATTCTGGATCGTTTGGCGGTTGAAGCATCTTAGTATGGCATGAGCTTCGTCCCATCGAAGTGTAAAGTACTGCTCAAAGATTGGCTTTCACCTGCTCCTGTACTCACTCTCCAAGGTGCACAACTTGAACTGGTAGATAGTTTCGTCTACTTTGGGAGCTGTGTTTCTGCTGACGGCACTATCAACAAAGAAGTTTCTCTTCGTATCGCTAAAGCTCCATCAGCATTTGTCAATCTGAGCCACTTGTGGCGTCGTCAAGACGACTCATTCTCACTAAAGGGCCGCGTTTACAGCGCATCAGTTCGCCTAGTATTGTTGTATGGGTGCGAGTCCTGGCCCATTCGCGTGGAAGGCATGCGTCGTCTTTCTGCCTTTGATAACGGTTGCTTAAGGAGCATCGCTCGGGTTTGGTGGCAACATCGAGTTAATAGTAATGACGTTCGACGTCGCACCCTGGGGAATGCGAGTATTCCCTTCAACAAACTAGTTTTGTTGCGCCAGTTGAGATGGCTCAGTCACGTCCTACGCATGGCACCTGAGCGTCTACCGCGTCGTGCTCTATTCGCGCGTCAGGGACCTGGCTGGAGGCGACCGCGTGGTGGTCAACCTTCCACTTGGCGGCAGCACATGAAATCGCTGACGTCGTGTCTAGCCCTGTTGGATCCGTACGTCTTTCAGGATGGGGACCCAAAGATGAGGAGTGCCAATGGCTTAGGACTCTTGAAGATATGGCCCGCAACCGGAAACAGTGGAAAAATTGTGTACAGTATTGTATTGATTCACATTTTAATACTACAAACATTAAAAATGACAAAAAGGAGCAAAAGCGGAGTGGGAAAAAACAAATTAAAAATGTGTTATTCTACTTTTTGTCAAAATGTTATACTCTTCCTGCGGCATATTAGCTGAAGTGTGTTGCTCACCTTCAACTACCATGCCACGATGATTATGACGCGATGACTATTGCTTATCCACTGATCTCCATGGTTTTATGCTGGCTCTGTGTCTAGTTGATAGACTGTTGAGACTACATGCATACGAACACCGCAATGTTTATCGAGGGCCGATAAAGACTCTGTCAAAGTGGGTATCTCTTGCAGTTTAATGGCATCAAATAAACGTAGACCCTCTGAGCCGAGGTGGAAGCGCAAAAGTATCCTCTGTTTTCAGCCTCACCGATGGACTGAGAACTGGTAGCGCAGAAACATATTCTGAGAAACTAATTTTCCAGCATTCTGCATTTGGGATAAACGCGGAGTTAGTCCAGAACGGTGCAGGAGCAGTAGCACGCAAAAACATCGGTAACACGCGATGCCAATTTGCTGTATCCCGAAAAAGCAGTAGACCAGAGCAACACCAGGACGTATGTATGGAAAAAACCGTCCGCACGTACGCGCGTGACAATTGAATCGACAGACGTGCGAATTGCAATCAATCAAATGCAAGGTCACATGACTGACCAACCAGGGCTAAATAGAAGTGTGAGTAGGATAAGCGAATCGGGGGCAAAAACAAAGCGAAGTTCACCTGTTGATCGTTTTTCCGAGCTTGGTAAAGGGATCGCGTATGTTTCACCACCGTGCGAGGTGGCATGTTCAGTGAGCAACCAAGCCGGGCTACCAGTGTTCCAAATTATTTCGAACAAATCAAAGTATTTGAACACGACAGGTACGTAACCATCCAGTCCTCTGCAGTCCATTAAGCGCTTCTGCGAAACAGCCAAGTGAGATCGTGTACTAAGTGTCCCAAAGAAGCCAATCTCCACTGAGCTAACTATAAAAGGTGACCACATTATGAAAGTCACTGAGAAACGAATAAGTCACCAAAAAGGGCGCACAGTGCGGTAGAACTGCGGCTGCTCACCTCGATGAGACCTATTCTTGTGTACGGTTAAAAGATTGGCGACGAGGCAGTGTCCATAAGAAATCACCTATAGCTGTAGACAAAGCTGCGCTGGACGCACTAACTGAAGTTTGAGTTGCAAAATCAATCAGCACATCTCCAGGTGGCTACACAGCCGATGGGATCTATGATGACGGAATCGTTGAATCCTGAAATTGAGCTATTTCGGTAGTTAAAAGGCACTTGCTGACCACCAACAACCGAGTCAATTCTGATGAGTCATTCACAGACCTAGTGTGCGGACAGCGGCCCCACATTCTTAGGCGATTAGAAGCTACGGTTTTGCACAGAAACTGTAGCTCTAAGCCTACTCTGGAACCGCAAGCATTTGGTCATCTATGGCCTCATGCAACAGTGTTTGTTTACCTATCACTGTTACATATTTGCGATTGATAAGAATGCGGGATGTGACCGAGCCATTTCGCAAATTACGTGTGGATTTTCTGGATTATAGAAGTTATTTCTAGTTTCAAATTTAGCCATAGAGACGGAGACATATTCAAGCGGATAGTCAATAAACTTTATGATAATGTGAAGTCAAGAAATTCGTTTTAGATAATGTCATGTCAAGAGGATACGAATGCCGATGATTGCAGCAATGTGCGATCGTTGTTTATTGATGTGAAACGGTATGCCATCCGTACACCTCCCATATTTCTGTTTGTGCGATTTTGCATTTTAGGTGATTCCATTTTATGAGGGATTAGTAAAGGGATCATAATGGTGTAAATAAGAGCCAATCACATTCAAACTCAGGTTGATATCCATCACATGTCCTTTCGGGAATCGTCAGCAGTTGTCATTCCATTTGACGCCTGTGGCGCTTGAAGCGGCAACTCGACTGCTACCAGTCTGGGGTTAAGAGCCTTGAACTACTAGGACGGTAACGACCTACGTGACTAAGTCACTAGATTTAATATGCCGCTGTTCACTAGCCAATACACTGCAGAGGACATGGTAACATTCTCAGTAAGAAACGAACTCGTAATCAATAGATAGACTAAAGTGCTTATAATAAGTAAATTGGCGGCTCGGTAAGAGGGCTATCTCGTTCTTTGCACGGTAACAACGTGCAAGGATAGTCAGCGGAGTTAAACCATATTTAGTAAATTAAGCACAACGGTCGCTGTCGTCTTGAACAGCTCAGTGGTCTCTACTACAGACTGACAACAGTCCGGTTGCGGGTTCTCGTTCCACAGAGGTCAGACGAAATGCGCACTGCCGGTGATTCCCAAAAGGATGAAACGGCCGTACAGTGCTTTCCCTGGCATGTGATGGTTGTCTGACTGAGTTTAACATGATGAACGTTTACGCATACAATTCCATCTTAGTCCAGCCGACGGCATGTAGAAAACGTATTCAAACGGCAATGTAGCAATTTATGAAAGCGTACAATCAAGTGAGCCCTAACATCCATCATCAAACGTGTCTGAAAGATGGTTACACCATAGCTCCAAGCGTCGTGATGAGGAGAAAAGAGTAAAAAGTATTTATCTGTGTGATGACATGATGATGATTCGAGATGATGACGACTTCATTGATGAACTACGTTATCTAAAAAAGCGCTGTGTAGGAAGTTTGACTGTAGTTTATTCAGGTAAAATGGACGTAGGTGGTAACAACGACATTAAAAGGACTGTAGTTAGTGTATGTTCACAGTGAAACGAATACAACAGACGAAGTAGTAGAAAGTGCGAACTAACCTGAGCCACCGATAACTTTTCCGATAATGCTTGCAAGTCCCATAATCAGGTAAGGGGAAACCATCTTGAATGAGAGGGTTTTGAGACGAATTTGGGGTTCGCCGCTGTCTGCGAGGCAAACTGCAAGTGCCGGACGAGTTCTTCAAGGGTAGGGCTGATGAAAGTAGATGGTAATGGCTTACGATGGACCAACACCTGGCAAACGCCTAGTACTGATCATAGCGTAGTATATACCCGTAGCATATGAAAATAAATAAGCGATAGCCTGAAGCCACAATTAAAGAGGCGGAACAGCGTTAAAAATATCGAGACTACAATGTCCAGAGAGTGATTTAACAAAAAAGTAGCGAAATAAACAAATACAAACTGAAGATATCAAATGCGCCCATGTTTAAGGAAATGAAGCAACCCATGCCGGAAATCGCCGTTTTTCTGAGGACGAGAGAAATATCGAAGACAGTGAGCGGTATGGTGTAAAAAGAGCGCCAAATATTCAGAGGAAACGAAAACGCCACATACTAATGTTCACTGTCAACAACGTTAGTTTATCTGCCCTCTCGCTAAACCAATGGGTTCGCTAACCTAGTATGGCTAAACAAAACAGATGTGCGCTGAGAGAGGGTAGTGATTCAGTTGGGACATACGATGAAAAATGAGCTACCAAAAGCAACATACCGACTAATAAGACAATCTGCTGCACAAAATGGAACCACTAGCTTTTGAAGAGAACAGCTATGATTAAATCCGGTCGCGACGAAGATAAGGACTGTCAGAAGAAAAAGAACGTAAGATGCCACGTTTTATCATGAGTTACACTATTGGAGACTTCATAAGGCAGCGAGTTAACAGCAACTAGGAGAACGCGTGTTAAAAGATGTGGTAAGAAAGCCAAACAAAAAAGCGGTGAGGGTCGTTCATTTGACTACGAATATGTCGCTTATCAAGAGACGTACAATTGCGGGGAATAACAGTCGGCGAAAGAAGAGATGAAGTAAGGTGAACAAGAGAGACGTTTCAGAAGCCATGTGAAATAACTAGTGAAAGACGGCACTCATCAATCAGGTGATTCGTGCATCCCAATGCGACCGCAATGTTGTAAAGCTGTGAACGGGAAAATGGCTACAATTTTCACAAAAAAGACTCCCTAACATTGGCCAAAAGAAGAGCCATTTCGTTGTAGTCCGTCTCAAGCAGGAAATTGGAAAGTACCTGGAAAGAAGATATACAGATGTCCCGTTATTTTAGGATCCGTTTGCAATGCGTTGACACCAGAAGTTTCGGGAGCCCATACTCGTGACCTGATTACGCGAGACGGTGAGTTACCACTGTGTAACGAGGACAGGTGTACTCGACAAAACAAAGTTATCGACTGCAAAGTAGCACAGATCACCTTCCAATTTAAAAGTGAAAAAATAAACGAATACCAAGTGGAGTGTATGAGCAAGTACCATCGATCACATGTTGCAAGCATCAGTGTGGCACTGAAATCGGCCGCGACATGCAAATGCGGGGAAATTGTCAGACAAGCAGTAGATGCGGAATATGAGGGAAACAGTATGCACATTCATCTAGATAGTGCGTGAAGACAGATAATGCCCAAATTGAAATTATACACAGGTGTAGGTTCATTATTGTTGCAGGAGCGCCAAGAGACCCCGCAAAATTTACACACTACTGCCCGCGTCACCAGGTCAGGCGGCGCGGGACGAATTTGCTGTCCCCAAAGCAGTAGATTCAGGGAGAGCACAGCGAGTACGGAATTGAAGATGTTCTTTTTGAATCTCATCTCAACGTAATGAGTCTACAATTAAAGCAGCGCCTTGCTCTACCTTGGCTTAATCATAACAAGCACTCTGCAAAGGTCAGTCTTCTTTCTCTCTTACGCGAGGGACTAGTGGGGTATTGTGCGTCAGTAAGTTAGTCGGCAGAAACTGGATGTGCAACTGGTTCCGGGGGCGTTGCAATCCGTTCGTCCGTCTAGACTACGCGAGAGCAATTCAGACGTTGATTAGGATTAAATGCGAGCTAAGCTTGGTGTGTCATGTCATCAAACTATGCCGAATTGGTTACGGCCGGCCAATCCAGAACAAGGGAAGACGGATCTAATATAGATCGACAGAGACGTCATTATGGTGGCGACGGAGGTGGGACTCCAATCCACGCGGAATAATTCCAATGAGTTAGCAATGAACTTTTAGGAAACATGCCAATTCGTAATGAAAGAACATTTTCCGGAGCAGGAAATAAAGGGCCACACATTTAGAGTGCATCCATCTAAGGTGTAAGAGAAATGCAGGCAAGCAGAGCCCAAGTGCAAAGAATAGTAATAGCTGTGCAATACTTCATTCTTGAGGCAGATAGTTAACTGGGGCTATTATCATGACCGTTAACATAGCAACTGTAAATGACAATATGCGTACATATAAACCCTAAAGTTAGTGTAGCAAGGAGAGGGTGGTTAAAGGTCCCGAATTGCGACCAGAAATCCGGTCTGCAAACACTTACGAGGACAATGAACTGCTGTGGTAAACACACGGCAGGCGAATATGAGACGGCCTAACCTGCATCGTTAAAAATTATGGAATATAACGTGGATAACAGCAAAAACAACTTATTCTTATAAGGGTTTGAGGTTATCATGCAAACCGCCGACGGGTGTGCGACAAACTCTGTAGTAGTTTGGTACATGGAATAGGAATCGCATTGTGTCATTACTGGGGACACATGGAGAAATCGAACCCAGACTGTAGGTAATCAATCGCATCGGGCCTCTTCTAAACATATGCTTCCATAGCCGGAGGGTAAAGAAAGACCAGGTATGCTAGACAGCTATCGACATATGAGCTATCGCATTTCGCTTATGAAACAGTCATCGCATGGAGGTTCCGTTGACGTTAGCATGTTATATGGTCCAGCCTGTATTGTATTGGTTAGCTTCAGCTCGTATTAGACCTAAAATTCTGGTGGTTATAGTCAGAGCAAACACCAACTAAGTCCTAGAGGTACACACCTAAAAATTAAAATTAGATATCCGATTGGTACCAAACATTAGCACAACACGACCACTTGCATTCATCGCGTACTCACTGAGACGCAGTGGATTATGTATTGACCTGTTCTCTAGGAGAGTTAATGTACACATGGTTTCCTCGGGGAAACACGACCCAACAGGCATGATCAACCAATTACAGAATTTTCGATGAATGCTTATTAATTCATTGCACATACTATCAATTGGTCAGATAATATACCAATAAGTAATAGCGACAACGTGTGGGTGCCCAGATAAGTTCGGTGGAGGCTGCTTAAAATAGAACTAATTTACATGAGGTATTTAGGATTGGAGAAGTAGGGTTGTATGATCAAGAATGTGCTTGAAAGTCAGAACTGAATTGCTCGAAAACAAAAACTGGACGTCATAGGAACAAATTCATCGACTGTGTTAGTGTCTCGATTCTAATGAAACATGCGTTGGAGCAGAATCGTCATCTGATAGGTTGGTTAAATCGTTGCATTTTGTAGAGATAGACCGCAAGGCAAAACCGTGCTCACATCGGAGCCTTGCTACAGTAAAGGATTGGTGATCTTGAAATGGTGGAATAGTCGGCCATTCAAAGTCAAATGAAAGTTCCAACTCGAGAGAATGTAAATGGCAAGATTTCATCCTTCGATTGTAGACTGAGTACGTTGCACAGTATCATCCGGATAACTATAGGGAAATATTATGTGAAATAAAATGTATATCCAATGTATATCCAGTTGTAACTCTCCGGGTACGGTAGTATCGACAGCAAAGTCTCATTCATAGCCAAGTTGAAGATCCATCACGTAAGAGTAAAAATAGCAAGTGTTAAAACCCCGATTACATTTAGTGCTACTAAATAAAGTTTAATCGGTTTACTGCAGCTGGCGTAGCCAACACAGTCGTTTGTGATCGTGATTACTACAACATAAAAAGAGATGTCGAAAGTTTTGATGCACTTCCCCTAAGGTGTTAAATTCGAGGAGAGCAGAGATGTCGGAGATTCCCATGGCTATTCCTAGGTCGACATACGCGCAAGCAGCTTTAACAGTATCGGAAAACTTCGGTATTCAATTGTGATCGGTCAATTGTGAATGGATGGAATTTCTCAAAATGCCCCGTGAAAAATCGAAAATATATTGTTGTTGTCATAATTATTTATATGATTATTATAATTTGGTGAGACCCACTTTACATATGTACGTAAGTACCTATGGTGATTCAACAAATCTGACTCCGAGGTAACAGGATATATCTAAGTAGGACAACTACGAAAGACAGAAGGCGACGACGAGGAAAGTAGATAAATAGTAAATAAACTTAGCAGTGGTATGAATGATGATTAACAACCATAGACCCATAACTTTATTTTGTGCACCATAGTGCATTACGGTGAGGATGAAACCGGTCGGAGCCAAGTACCATGTATCGCTTCAACAGCCACTGCATGGACAAGAGGTTCACCACCGCAATTTGTTCAAATAAAATAAATAAATAAATTTGTATATTTACCGACGGACGGTACACGGCCCCATAAGTGGGAGCGATCATTTGTATAGTGAACACGTTTCATAACATCAAAGAAAAGTCAATTAATAGCATTTTGGATCATGATTACTTTTCGTTGAGTCTTAGACCCGCGCAACTCATATGTAAAATTTACGGATGTTTGTATCGTCAGGAGTAGATAATAAAGGAAGGGACTATTAGGCTGCAAAAACAGAGGATTTGATATGGTATGTAATGACATGTAGTGGGTAAGCTAGCTGTAAGCTATTATCAAATGTTTTTTATACCAACTTCTGTCAATGTTTCTAGTGTTTGCTGTGAGTCAAATATCTTCAGAGCATTTGGTATAGTGAGGAAGGTCTGAAGGAGATTTCGAAAAGTGACATGGCTTGTACACATGCGTATCTGTAGGGGTAGTTTGTTCCACAGATAAGTGTATCTTACTAAGAAGAAATCCGACCGAATTTTATGACTTGAAAGGTTTGTATGTATCAAGTAGCCGCCATTACGTGTGGGGTAGACTGCAATCTTCCGTAGTTCAAGTGCGGTGCTGTCTGCGTAAATTCGTTGGTTTATAATGTTGTAGAAGAGAACGAGGTTGTTCTTTAAGCGTCTCAGCCAAA